ACTGGAAGTGACTCATACGAAATACAGGTACCTTTGGCTCATGCAAAATACAGGTACCTTCTACTGCACAAAAAAGAAAAGAGTGCTGGGACAACATGATGCTCTTTATAGTTACAGGACAATGATAAAAGATGATAAAACACTTTAACTGTCAATAGAAAGGTCACTTCATGTGAGTGTAGGTGCAGGAGCAGAGTGGGGGAAGGTGACTTTAAATCAGCTTTGCAGCTTCCCTCCTTCAGCTGGTTCATCACCAGGTGGATCTGCTGGAGGGATGAACAGCTTTAGTCTGCTTTAAATTCTGCCTTCAGCCAGTAGTTCTCAGCTGACATCAGGGCTGTTAACCAGGGCACTGGCAAGAGCTGACTCAAAGTTTTCTGCACTTGGACCTTCCAAGAAAAGCACCCCTCACTTGGAGGGGCTGCTGCTTTTTTGGAGAGTAACACATGAGCCTGGAGCTGTGCCAGGAGAAGTGGGAAGTTCACCTCCTTCTTGAGGATCCTGCAAATGATCTATTTACATGGCAAAGCCTGTGAGCTGCCATGGCAAGGACACACGGTTCCAGCTCAGCACACCTGTGCTTTACTGTGGTTTCCCTTATGAATTTAAAAAGCCTTTATCCAGTTTGTTCACTTTTAATCTGGCATATCATGATATCATAAGGCTGAAAATCTAGAACTAATTCTGAGATACATGGTCAGCAATGAAAAGCCTGAAGACCAGGGTCCAAAAGAAGATGCTCTGGGTGACAAAGTTGTCACTGGCATGAGGCTCCTGCAGGAATTCCTGGCTCTCACCTCAGCCAGCTGCACAAGGTTAGTGTGAGTATGTCCACTGCCTGCAAATTCCCCATGATCACTGTCTCTGTGCTATGCCAGCTGCACAAGGTTAGTGTGAGTATGTCCACTGTCTGCAAAAGTTCCTCATGATCACTGTGCTACAGTTTAGGAGGATACACCATGGATAAATAGCTTATTCTGCTATCAATATGACAATGAATTCATCATTTCACTGCATCCAACTGTTGGGAAAGGGGAAACTGGTGCACTTCCAACTCCTCATTGCAAGACACAATTTCCATATTGAGTGCAAGCAGTGCTTCAGGTGAGAACCAGTGACACAGCCAGAAGAGATGGGAGCAGAGCCTTGTTCTCTGTGAGCATCCCAGAGTCCTCTCAGGAGGGACATGTGTGCACTGAAGGGCTTCTGTGCCATTTCAGCTGGTACAGGATGGCAGCTCTCTCTTCCAAAGGCACTCTCAAGTGCTCTCTGCATTCCTGAGCAGCTGACAAAACACTGCTTACTGTCCCTCTCAGCAGAGATTTAACAAGTTCTGCTTAGTTAGCCAAGTCCAGACAGACCCCAAGTTGTGTTGCTTTAATTACAGCCTCTCCCATTTAATTTCTCTTTTAGTCTCAGTAAACACATTCCTAAGCTTCTCCAATCCATTGTGACAAAGGTTGGGTGCACTGGGAGCAGAAAACCTTCACCAGGGAAATAAGAAGACTGCCAGCACCTCCAAGCCAGCAAATTCAAGGATACTAACCCTGACCTATGACTACAACACACCTGGTATTGTGAAGACTCAAATTACTTCTGCTCCAAAAACTGAAAAATAAGGTTTTTATTTTTACATAGTCTTATTTTAAAAAGGCAGACGTTTGCATTTTCAAAAATTGTTTGTGGACTGGAAGTCAGTAGTGTTCTTAAAGCCTGTCTGTTGGAAGTCAATTATTTAGGCAGACAGGCACTTAACTACTTATGTGCAAGGATTAATACCTGCAATTAACCCCTGGTGCAACTACAGCCTGTGCAGACACACATCTGGATCCCTGATCACTGGTGCTTTATCCACTGCAGGTGAAAGAATTTGCAGTTTCCATTGCTTCCTTGACAAGTTCTTCCACAGGGTGAAAATCACACCATCGTCTCCTCATTCAGCTTCTCTACTTTTGTCCCCAAGTCTCTGAACAGCTGCTTTGTCCCCCTAATGTCTGCACTGGATACATTTCACATGGATTCAAAAGGCAATGATATCATCCCGAGAGAAAAATCCAGCGAGAATTACAAGGTTCAGAGCAGTAGCTGGAAAGGAAACAGCTGGACAACTACATAATACACCTGCACTGTTCCTACAGTTTAGATGATTGCACACCATAATCTTTACTGTCCTCTCCTGCAGGAGATCCTCCCTTAACTTGGCTGTGAACATTCTGACACAGGGACAGGTTCTTGCACAGCCTCAGCACAGCCAAGCTTTGCTCCAGGACACCAGCACAATTCTGTTACTGGTACAAACTACCAATGCAGAAATGCAGGTATAAATAAGGTTCATAAACTCCATATTAAATCCTCTTGAAGAATTATAAATCTAAGAGCCAGTTATTCCTATCCAAATGCAAGAGTATACACAGTTAAAATATTTTTGAAGTGTCACATGAGGTTGCAGTAGTAGCTTTATTAACATGGATTTAGAAAGAGCTTAGGGGTTTTTCTTCTGAATGCCCTCACTCACACCATCTTCAAGTCATCATCCACTTGTTTATTGCACATGCAGGCTCTCACCACAGAAATTATTCTGAGCACAGATAAATCCCCTTCCAAACATTTATCCAGCAAGATGTGTTATTTATAGACAAGCTGGTCAGCCCTGTGAGAAGTGCAGCCTCTGTGACAGGGTGCTGTGCTCCAAGGGGCTGCTGGTGACAGGCAGTGCTGAAGCTTCTTGTAAAATGAGAATAAAAACCTGAGTGCAGAGATTAAATTAACAAAACAAAGAGAAGAAGGGGTCTGAAGTGGTCAGGATACTGTGTGCTGCTGAGATAAGAGGAAACAGAGAAAGGAGGATTCTAACCAGAGAAGAAATGGGAATGTTAACAGAGTATTGGTGAATAAGCTTAGTGAGGTTTATCAGATTTGGATAAGGGAGAGGATAGCTATCAATCCTCCACAAGCTCCCTGTTGAAACAGCTCACACAATTGTTCTCATCCATGAGGAAAAGACCTTCATTTGACAGGCAACCTCCCTGAAAGTGCTCCCACCACAGCCATTCAGCAGTGCCTCCTGTTTCCCTCTCAAAGCGAGTTTTGGCCTTTGAAAGATGCTGAGCTGAGATCCTAGGACTGAAAGCTTTTGATGTTTGCACCCACCCAGGATGCTCCAAGTTCACCTCTCAATGCCTTTTCCTCATGCCAGAGAACCCCACCCCACAGCCAGAGTCAGCAGAGATTTCCAGTGTGTGGGGACAGTGCTCAGTCATTAGAAATTGGTTGAAAGCTGCTAATTAATTTCTCACCAGTTACCCAGCAAGCACCAAAATGTGGTAATTTGTCCTTGGATTAATTTTTTTTAAGGTTTTTAAGAACCTGCACATGCACTAAAACTGGAAGCTAAGTAAGAGTAGAGATGCTGAAACATCCAGAGCAGAAACACTCAGCTATTTCCAAATCCATTCATAGCATCATTATGCTGAAATGATGTGGCATTCAGAACATATCTACATTCATTTTGGGGGTTACCTAAAGCTTTGAAAAAAAAGTTCAAAGCAATTTCAAGTAGATTTTTATTATAACTAAAAGACTCTATGAGACCATTCCCATTGGTGTGAGCAGCAGCATTAAATCAGGTGAGGCAGCCACCAGTGCAGAAATTGTTCTAATTTCTCAAACTCATATCAGGAAAATAGCAGTTACAATTATCCTCTGAATTTGTCTCTAATTCAAGCCTCCTATTTAAAGAAAAAAAATGTACATGCTAAAGAGAAAACACTTAAGTTTCACACAGAAAACCAATAAAAGGAAAAAGAAAAAAAGGACTAAGAAAAAATGCTTTTACAAAGAAAGCTAAATAGTGGAACAAGTTGCTCACAAAGTAAAGGCTTTGATAATATTTTGTTTGATAAAGCTGACTGCAAAGAAATAAATTTGTCCACAGCACTCCACTCAGAGCCACAAAATGTTCATGTAAAACATATTTCCTTGTACAGCTTCAAAGAAAAGATATCATGTGGATTATGAACTGGGCAGGAATTAGAGCCCAAAATCCAGTTTTCAAATGAAAAAACTTCAATTTGTGCTTGAATGTAACCATTCAACCCTTCCACCAGTAACCTGGAAGTAAAAGTAACATTGCTGATACCACAGGCAACACCAGAAATATTGAGGGATGGGTGAACACACAGAACTTAGTGAGCTTCTTAAAAGCCTGGGATCATTTGCACATGAAGAATTTAATAAGAACAGTATCAGAAATTAGAAAGGTGATTTTACTTCTGCACAGACTGGCAAGACTGATACTCCCTAAATTTTGGTGGTCTGTGTAAAAACGAAGTTGAAAAACCAACTGGAAAACCAAAGGGAGCCACAAGAATGAGTCAAGCATTCATTCAAAAGAGAATATTTGACATAAAGAAGCATAAAGAACTAATATATTTGGTCTACCAAAAACGCAGTCTGATAGATAGTTTGACCACACAGTGCAGGAGTTTCCACAGACTGAAAACACTGATAAAGGGCTCTTTCATTCAGCACAGAAAGGCCTCATAAAAGGCAATGGCCATTTAGGGACTGAATTTAAAACAGTTATGGGTACAGGGTACATCAGCCTCTCTCTGTCCAGTGAAACCAACAAACCATCAATCTCCAGGCCCATCTATTCTACCCCAGCAGAAGCCAGCCTGAGTCTGTCCCCACTCTGCACAGGACACAGCAGGAACCTGCTGGGCTACCACAGAGGAAGGTCTGAACCTTAAGTCCTTTCCATATCACCTGGGTGTTAACCCTAATAACAATACTTAATTCTTCGTAGAGTTCATGCATTCTCTAGCCAGCCCCAACTGGAGATTCCTTCTTTCCTCTCTGGTTCTAGAAGTCAGCACTTAGCACTGCAAAGCAGAGTAAGTTTGTTGGCAGGAAAAGTCATCCCTTTCCATGCCTTTTGTAACAGTCACTCCAGGACTTTTATAGTCCTAAATGGAGATGTTGCATCTGTATTAACTCACCAGGAGTGCAACCAGCCTCATCAATTCCACTTTCACAGTCCTTCTGCCCATCACATCTCCAGGACAATGGGATGCACTTGTTGCTTAAGTCTCCACAGCTAATTTTTTCAGATGGACACACTTGTTTGGCTGGAAGAAAAAAACCAAAGAAATAAACAGACATTAAACATATATTTCCAAACATTTCTAACATTGTTTATGCTGTTACAGTTACTTTGACTTTGAATGGCTTGATCCTGAGATATATTGGAATGAAATCCCAAGCCAACCTGCTGCCTCCTCAACCAGGCTGCCCTGGGATGAGGCCCTTCCTGTCCCTCTCAGCCAAAATGAACGGAGGAAGGTTCCAATAGACCAACAGGGATTCCAGCTGAGAACTTGGGGTTGGCTGTGACAGGGAGGGGTGCTCAGTGCAAACTGGGCTCTGCCTCCCTGCCCAACACACTGAGCTGGAGCTGCTCAGGCACTGCCCTGCACACAGCACAGCAGCTCTGCACAAACCACCTCCAGCTAAACCAGGGAAAAGCAATTCCCTCATTTTAGTACAACGGTGTACGTCCAGGTTTGGCAAGGCCGTTTCTAAACATAATGACCCGGGCAGATTGTGGTCAGCAAAGCTGAGGAAAAAGCAGCCAGGGCAAGCAGGAACTTGCAGATATTTAACAAATTGAGCTGTAAATGCGTAAATTGGAGGAAACTGTGATGTCAGACATGGAGATGTAGGAGGACCTGCAGAAGCAAAAACCCCAGTACAGGCAAGAAGACAACTATGAAAAAGAATTTGCCAGATTTATCTGGAACCAAGTAAGCTGTGAAGCTCATTCTCTCATAACTAGTTTGCATTGCTAAAATTCCTTTTGCCTTCATACTGGTGTAAAGAGCAACAGATCTACATTTATTGTGACAAGGCTGCTGAAATGCAAAATGTTCCACAATTTAAACAATTGTTTAGCATTCTGGAATCATCATCCAGTTTGGCAGGATTTGCTTATTAAACAGACTAATTTCCCTCTTCAAAAAATTATGTGTATTCAAGTATTTCTTCCACTGCTACTAACGATGATAATGCTGTGTATGGCTGCAGGTCTACTGAGCAGGTGGGAACCTGGATTCTAAATGAAAACCTTCACATTACCCTGCCCTGGTAAAGGTATTTACGAAGTCAATCAGCTTCCCAAGTGCTGAGAGAGGATGAAAATTATACCTCCCCTTCCACCTACACAAGGAGACTGTGAAAGGGCATCCTACAGCCCCAAAGCATCCATCAGCCACTTGGAGAGCAGTGCCATTTAATCCCTGCATTTCTCCGTCTTAGCGCCTTCAAGTGTTAGAAGAAGCAGTTTGGAGAAGCTGTGGGCAACCAATACATCAAGAAAAATTAGGTGCTGCCACAGACAGACAGTTAATAACAGATGTAATGAAGTTTTATAACCCTGAGGCGTGACAGCATTTCTGCTGAAATTTGCTCGCTGCATACCTAAATAACATTTATCAATGTTGCATGATTACAGAAGGGAGGAAAAAAAGGATCCTTACTTAGGCTTTGGGGTTATTTTTCCAGCAAATTAGTAATGAAAAACATTGGAAAGGCTCCCCAGCAAGACCCCACCACGAGCAGTGTGTCTGCCAACTCAGGCCAAGTCCTGTGTCCCCTCTAAGCTGCAGGTTTTGTAATACCCAACTACATTAAGGTTTGGATTGGACTGGCATACTGGGAGAACTGGGACACCAAAATGTCACTGAGACATTTGTTAATCAGGTTATTGGTTCACATTCCTCAATAATTGTTCTAATTCTTCTTGTTCTGGAAATGGTGAGGGAAAGGAGAATTTATTTTGATGCCAAGTAGGACCAGGTGTTCCATCCTCACTGTAAATCTCCACTGAGAACCAAGTGAGTCAAGACAGGTAGGAACATGTTCCACACACCTGATTTTGAAGAAGGTAAAATTTAATCATAAAATGGTGTCATCACACAGCGGGATCATTAACCAGCAAAAAGTTTATTTACTGGTCACAGTTTAAAGTATGGAAATTACTTTTGCTTGGCTGCTGTGGGCAGATGTTTAATAGTTTTGGGAAGCTCTAAGGTTTAGAAAGGTATGAACAGAAGGCTCCTATTTATGGAAAGCAACCTCTGTATTAGTCATCTCCCTGACAGAATAATTACAGACATTTAAAATATGTAAATCAAAGCTTGAACTTTCAGGGATGCAGCAATAGAAGCTGCTCTTGGTCACAGATCATCAAATCTCTGTGTTCCAGTGGTTTCTGCACCCAAGCAATTGTTGCGTGGAAGCCAACGACTTGTAGGCACTGGCAGGTAACAGAGAGGGGATCTTACACAAAACTCAAAGCAAACCTTTGGTGCAAACACACCTGCATTTCCAGCAAGTTGGGTGTTTTCCTCCCCTCTCCCCTGAGGCTGCAGATGCAAGTGGAGTCCATGTTGTTTTCCACACTATTAAAGAGGCTTTCGGCAACTGCAGTCCAGACTTAACATTTCTGTTTCTGCGCACGGCTTACACAAACCCAGGCCTCTTGGGCTGACATGACCAAAATGTGTTACCTCCTCCTTCCCTCTTTGTGCAGGCAGAAAGGAAAGGGTTAGTGCTGTGTGTGATGGTGAGTGCTCTTACCCTGGATGCATTCTGGACCAAGGCGAGTTATAGCAAGATCTGCCTTTTCAGAAAAGCACCATTAAACAACTTGGTTGAAATGTCAGACACATCAAGACCAATTTATCACAATGAACTGCAAATGCCAAGGATGGACAACAATGGTTTATTTATAAGGAGACAAGAGCAAAGAAGACAAGAAGGTTCCATTTACTCACTACCGCCAATGGCACATTCTTCTTTCTCTTTATAGGAGGCTACAAAGTCTTTCAGAGAACCATAGAGCCTAACTGGCGCCCCACTGTTTGCTTCCTCTTGTGCCACTGCTGTGCTTTTCAGGCTCCGGACATCATGTATATTCAAGAAAGCCCAAGAAAACAAAATTGATTTACTTTCAGAAGACCATTTGTCAGGTTCTCACCAAACAGGTACTCTAAGAGCATACACAAAATGCAATTAAGCAGCTTCTACTGGTGGGAAACCCACAAGACTTTTCATCAGCAGACTGAAAAGAAAGCCCTTTGTGGAAATACATCATCTTACAGGTCTGAACAGCTTCTCTATCTCTGCTGAAATAACTCCTCATCCTCTCCAGACTGCCCCTTGTGGTTTTCCCAGGTTCTTCAGAAGCTCCAACCCAAAACATTTTTTTCTACAACAGAGAAAACTCAATACTAAAATGGTTCAATTATTTTCTGCCATGCCAACGAACTGTTCCCACAAATATTTCCACTACTTTTATTATGGAATTTAAAATTCCTACCTTCCTCTTTCCTCCAGCAATGGTTTAGTTGTCAGCTTTTCTTTTTTTTTAAAGGAATGTTTTTTAACAGGGACCTTCCTTCCTCAAACACTGCCCTTAAATCTTCTTTTGTCACAACTGGCAGAACTGCCTCAGAGATGTACCAAGAACAAAATAAGTGTTCATACCTGCCCAAGTACAGGACTAGAATCCAGTTTGTTTCCAGAGAAAACAAGCCAAAGTGGTAAATGAGCAACTGTTCTGCAGAGAGGAGGGGAGCTGACAGGCAGAGATTGCTTAGGGAAATTCAGAACTCAGAGTTCTCAATCACTGAAGATTTGTGATTCAGAAAAAAATCTCAGTCACAAGTTTGCATATATTGTTCTTTATATATATGTGTGTGTACAAATTTTTATATCCTCATCTACACTTACTACTGACTTAAAACTCAAAGTTTCCCATTGAAGTATTTAAGGTGCATAAGAAACACAGTTTAAAATCCATCTTCTGACATAAAATATTGTCACAGCTGAAGCTGTATCTGACTGGCACTTTCCTTCTCTCTTCTCCCAGCTGCAGGTGGCTGTGAGGAACACTGGCCTCTGCCCCACCGTTTCCTTCTCTCGCCCCTTCTCCCAGCTGCAGGTGGCTGTGAGGAACACTGGCCTGGCCTCTGTCCCCCCAACCCCAGCTCACGCTGCAGCTCAGGACAGGTCACTGTTGTTTACTTTACTTTACTTTTGATGTGTCTCAACTCTTCGAGACACATCAGATTCTGGGTGTGATTTTCTAAGGTGTGTTATATCATATTTGATATACTTGATCTCCCTGATGCCTTCCTTGTGACATGTTATGATCAGAAGTGTTTGTGTGAGGACTGCAACATCCATGCTGGGTGATTCCCATGTCTTGGGAGTTTCTTTGGCCCTGGTGCACAGAGCACTGTGAGCACACAGGGACTCCCTCAACCCTCAGCTTTCACTGGGTGCTTGAGTTTGGATCTGGGCATCAGCAATACACAGAGACAGAACACACCATGGGGAATGCTAATCAAAGAATTGTTCCCACTAAGGTCAGGAGCTGCACTGAACCTTCTGTCATGTAAAGCAACACAGTACAAGCATCAGCCTGCTGGGATAGCAACACTTACATGAACTTGTGACTTGTACAAAAGCCAATCCATCAGCAGTACTTGGGTTGCTCACCATATCTGTATTACACTTACACTTGAGATCTCTGAGAAAATACAGGCAACTCTACAATTTCAGTTGAAAGCAGCCCAGGTCAAAACAAATGTCACGATTAGTGGCTTAAGTGAATTAAGATTACAGCAGTGAGACTTGGAATGAGACCAACCCACCACCAGTGACGCCTCTGTTGACAGAAGCAGCCGCCCCATCCATCTGCTCCCACAGGAAACTCCATTCTGGTCAAACTGGGGCACGCTGACAGCACCAATTCCCAGGGCTGGAACTGATGCCACCTGACTGCATGTGTGAGTGGGTAAGTACAGGCTGATGTGTCACAGTCTTTGTGGCAGCATGCAAAGGCACAGAATCAGTGAAAAATCTATTTGTCTTGCACAAAAAGACAATTAACTTATGGGCACTGCCTTTCAACTTTCAACATAAATTAAGCAGCTCAAAAGACAGATTAAGGAAGGTGACTAAGGAACTACACTGTAAATTGTCAGGAACAGCATTAACAATTGATACACCCGATAAATAGATTCAGTAGTGTAATTTGTTTGATGATGACTTATGTTCAGAA